CATTTTCGAGGACCGGCCTACCTGTGCGAGGTGCATCTTTATTTTTTTACTGCGAAATGCCACCCTTCCAACGACCATAAATCTCAAATTGTTTCATTGATACCATGGTATAATAATAAAAGGTAACAGCAAGTGTTGTACAAAAAACGATACAACAACCACATGGAAATTTTTTGTTGTAAGTTCTACTAGTGTCAACTCATTTGACAGAAAAATGTAAACAAACAAATTATCATCAAATTATTTTTATTTTGAAAATGGAATATTTTCGAATCCTCAAAATAAAAATTGAAAAACATGAATGAAAATCTATCAAATTTATATTTCTATCGCTTCCACATCTTTCCTTTAATTGAGCCATTGCCATATATATGTGTAACACACATGACAATGCTGGGAATAGCGAGTTATTCCTTCAAGAAAGATTTGCTTCCTCAAACTTTCCCAGCAGGCAGATTGAGTAAATTGAATACGGGAGCACATTAATAAAGAACAATTTCAAATTGAATGCGTTCCCAATTTTCCTGTTGGGTGATTTTTAAAAACATAATTTGTCAAATTCATATTGACACTAGTATTACGTTGGAATCAAATCAGCTGGGATTTGCTCTTACCTTTTATAATTGTACCATGGATTGATACTTTACGAGAAATCTATCAAATCTATCTACCTACCGAAAAAATAGTGGATTTCTTCTTCCCCCAACCTAATTATAAAGCATACAATGAATTCCAATGGGAACCAGCAATTTCCCAATTGCGCGACATAACCATTTTGTTTCCTATTCCTGTTTCCCCCTTGATTCGGGAATTTTTAACGCAGTGGTATTTTTGATTTGTCCATTTCTATTATTTTACCACTAATAACATTGTTAAATGTAAAACATGGCAACTCTTTCAAATATATTTAGTTGATTTCGCGAATTAACACGAGTGCGGTTCGGTTGTGGAGCTAAATTAATTAAATATTAAATAAGCGCGTGAAATATAATAAATATACCCAAAATTCTTTGGCAAATCAAATTATTGAAAAGCATAGAGTGAATTCCAATTGGAAAAGTGGAAAAAGTAAATACTATTAATAATTTAAAGGAAAAAAATACCAACAGAATCCCCGTCGTGCATTCGTATTAGTGATCGTGTTGTCTCTTCTTCTTCCAATCATTTAAGTTGATAGCTCAATACAGTGTTGGAAAGTTCTATCGTTTACTTGATTTCTCGTATTGTGGATAATCGGTTAATTGATTTATTATTGCCATACCTCCAATAATAACATTTATTTATGGATGGCAACTCTATGTGCAATCTTTAGTTTATTTCGTGAATTTACTCGAGTGCGGTTCGGTAAATGGCGTAGTGAATTTTATTTAAAGAAAACAAGTAATATTAAAACAAAAATATTTATAATATTCTGTGCATAATCAAACTAATGTAAAACATAGAGTGAAATCCAATTGGAAAAGTGAAGTACATATGTTTGTAAAAGGAAGATAACAACAAACATCAACCAACAAAAATAGCACCCCGTTCTTCAGTGTGTTCGTATTAACAATCGCTAAACTACCACATGACAAAACATATGTAAAAATGTTTGTAAAATCTAAATTAATTGAAATTTGTTGATAAATTACATGGTTTCCTGAATAATTATAATAAATATCAATTGTCCATAAGAAAAAAGTTGTCCATAAGAAAAAAGTATATGGTGATGGTGGTGTCTCTTCTTCTTCCCATGTCGCTCTTTGCAATAATTGACTACAGTGTTGGAAAACGTTCATGATGTTCTCTTTCTAATTTCAACATATTTTATTTGATTTCGTGAATTTGTTTCGAGTGCGGGTCGTGGGTAAATGGTTATCATATAAAAACGAAAGAACTAAAAAAGTCTAACATGGCAACTCTATATGCTCTATATTTAGTTGATTTCGCGAATTTACTCGAGTGCGGTTCGGTAAAATTGTAAAATAAATTGATATTTTAAGAACAGAAGTATTTTGGAGAAATTTGTATGAACCATTGTGCAGAAACAGAATAAGTCAGTGTTGGGCAAAATTAAATTGAGAGCAAGTGTGTGCGAGCGTAACTGAGAATTCACCATTAACAACGAAAAAAGAGAGAAAAAGAGAATAAAGGTTACGGTAGCGTATATGGGTAAGCATGCCTGGAATAAGTAAAGGTCAAAGTGATTCCAATTAGAAATGCCTTGTAATGGGAAAGTGTGCTCATATATAATGAAACAAATGTCAACAGCATAACAAGACCCGTCGTTCGTGCTAGTCAGTCTCGTGTCTCCTCTCTTGTGCAATCCTTTTCCTTGGAACGATATCAGTGTTTATTTTTGACACAATGAATAAAAAAACAATTTCTTTAAAAATAAACAACTTCTTTCGATCGTAACAACAAATTCGAAGTGAAATAACATTATTTGACACATAAAATATATTCCAATTGAAAATGAAATAGTTCTCTCTCTCTCTTCCTGTTCCTGTTCGCTTTTTGTCAAGTCATCTCAATGTTCTCTCATATTGTCGGGAACGGTGTTACACAAAAAATTTCAAAAGCCTTCACTGCTTGATAATCTGTGTGCAAACTTTAGTTTATTTTGCGATTTAACACGGGTGCGGTTCGGTAAATGTGTTTAATTCATTATTGTTCTTAGAAATCAGGAAAATGTGATAAATTTAACTAAAATCTAACAAAAAAGCTATTGAGTGTAAAGCGTAAGGGGAATTCCAATTGGAAAAATATGAAATATTGCATTTCATCAAAAGAAATAAAAATAATATAAAAAAGAAATAAAAAAATGTATAACTCGTTCGTTCGTTTCGTAATAATTAACATTGAAATATTCTGTGGTGATTCGGTATGAAACTACAATCATAAAATACATTCCAATTGGAACCGTGATGAAAATATTGCAAGGAAATTAAGGAATTGTTACAAGACAAACCACAAAGTTTTCGATATAACATAAAAAATAATTGTGTTTCTTCCTCTTCCTGCGCGCCAATTTCGTGAACCAATAGCGTCGCCACAAATCTATGTTAACATCTATATATGTCTGTGTGCAAACAGAAAACAATCAAAGTGTAGCAATCTCCACCCTTCATACGGTTCGTTAATATAAAAAACCAACAAATATTTATAAACAAATTGTGATTGTAATAAATATTAATGTTAAAGAAAGATATTTCGTCAGTAAAGTGAATTCTCATAATCCATTGAGGTGGTTCTTCTTCTTCATTCTCCCATTCACATTTGTGTGATAACTTTCATGGTCAATTAACAGTGTTGGAAAGTGTCGCTGTTGCACACGTTGCAATGTCTACCATTCGTTTTCAAAAACGACTTATTTCTTTTAATGAAAATGCGAATTAACACAAACTTTATTAAAAATAAGGGGAAATATCGTTCATTATCAATAATAGAAATAGAAAAAAACCCATTCACGTATATTCGGTAAGTTATTACCTTTTTTTAAAAACAATAAAACGCAACATTTAAAAGTATTTTGTTTTATAAAATTTATTTTTATTTATAATTTTTTATAAAATATTTTACCTACACATACTTACATTTGTTTAACACAATATTTGGTTTATTATTTTTTTCCCTAACATTACAATGTTTTTTTTTCGTTATTTACAAGACATACTTCTAAGGATTTTTGGTATTCTTACAAACTACCCTAAACATTTTTTCTTTTTTGGCACAGCATGACTACATTTGTTAACTAAATTAACATTTATAATTTTTCATAAAAATTACTTGTTTCTTTTTTCTACAAAAAATCTTTCAATACAAAAAAGAACTTAATCAAATTTATTGTAAGGCAATAAATTGATAAATTCTTTACAACTATGTATCTATCTCAATTTGTTTTTTTAAATTTATTTAAACATCAGTTTTTAAATTTCCTTTAAGCATTTACATGTTTATATAATGGTTATTTATTCAAAACAAGAGACTTTGTTTTTAAACTTTTCCCCCTTCAGATGTAATTGAACCTTAAATGCTTGCAGCAGGTGATTTAGTGTTTGTTGGCTTAAGTGCCCCACACACGTCAAACATGTGCGTTCGATCGGTGTGAATCGAAGCAATGTTTGACGTGTGTGGTACGGTGTTCAAACGGATTTGGTGGTGCGCACACCGATCGAAAGAAATTAAAAATTTTTAATTTTTCGTTGTGTGACGCGCACATGTTTGACGTCTGTGGTCTGGTGTGTGGATATTTTCTCATTTGTTATGAAATTTCGTGGAGTGCGGATCAGCGGACAATGTCACAAATGTGCAAAAAAAAAATGTTTTGAAATAATTTTTTGATGTTTTTTACACATATCGTACAGTTTGGGAAGTAAATATATTTTCCCGGAATAAAATAAAATTATTTAATAAATTTATATTAAATAAAAATATTTGTTCTTTTTCCCGTCATCACTATCGCTGACCATCTTCACGCTTCAAAAAAAAAAAAATACGAAATAAAGTTTTGTGGATCCGTTTGACGTGTGTGGGCTAACAGCTTCACACCGATCGAACGCACATGTTTGACGTGTGTGGCCCACTTTACATGCGAGCTGGGTGGCTGGCTGGCTGACTAGCTGAGTGGAAACAAAAAAAAGTACATCGGGTGGCTATATGTTAAAGTTCCTCTATGACTTTTATGCACGTTTGACTAAGAGCAGATTAAACGTGGCTGCCCTACAAACGTGACATCTCTAGACCGGTGGCTGGCTGCTGCGTACAACATTCATTCGTTCGTTGTCGTTGCCCTCTGTGGCGGCGTGTTATGTTTACCAAACAACATCTCTTAGGCATTCTCCTATTGTTTGCTGCTTAGTTTCAAACAATTGACTTGGAAGATGACGACGAAGCAATGCGCTTTGTTGTTCATAAGAAGCTAAGGTGTTTGTAGACGGCAGGCTCTGCTTTAACCGGCCTGCTGGCTTTTCTTTTTGGCTTCCTTTTATGTACACCTATATATGCATGTAGGTACCTATTTACACATAACTTTCCTGACGTTGTAGTTGCATTTTCAATGTATTTCCTACTTGGTCCTTGCTCAGTTCATTGTTTTCCTTGAACCCTTGGTATTGATGATGATGCTCAGACAACTGACGGGCCAGAAATGAAATATCCCGACTTGTACTTATATCCAACGGCAGCATTTGTTGCTGTTGATAAAATTCTGGTGAACGCCGCTGACTATCCGAACCTGTGCTGCTTGCCGTGTTCGGCATTAGACTAAAGAAGAAGGCTGTTGGCATATGATTCTGTTGTGTGAGCAATTCCATGCCCAACACCGAGTCCTGGGCCAGACGTGTCAATGTATGCAAAATCGTTTTGATACAACGTTGTTGGGCTTCGCTTTCGCCACGTGTGCTGTAGATTTTATAGAATTCCGTTTGGTATGCGTACGTGATGAAATTCACGATATTAGCATTGGCCAAATGGCTGTGGCATTTTTTATTCAATGACATATTGTAGAGCATGGCAACGATTTGTTCCTGCAAGGAGAAGAACAAAAAAAGATGGAGAAATAAAAGTTAGTAACCATTCCAAGGGAGTATATATCAATAAAAATATGTAGTCTACTGAACTGAATGAATGTAAGAATATGCAAGGTTGATTCGTGGTGGTGTAGGTGTAAAATATTGAAAGTCCATCTATCTGCAGCAATGCTGATGCTTCTGCCCTGGCGTATGCTTCATACAAGTCGAGGAAAAATTCAATTTTAACTATCTTCTCGACATGCTCGAAAAGCGTGCTTGGGGCTCAAGCATTGCCATGAAACGTGCCAAAGAAAGCTTTAAGAAAAATTGTTTTACAAATGTACAAAATAAATTTTATGAGTTTTATATGTTCTGGCTTGTAACAGATACTTGCTGCCTGCCTTCTGCTGTATCATGTAAACCTTGAAATTTCAAACACGATTGAGTTTCGCTTGGTTAACTGCAACATCCAGTATCGAAGGATGTCAGACAGACAGGGGCAGAAAAAACATTATAAACTTTTTATGCAATTTCGCATGTACGGAAAGAGGAGTAAAAAGCAAAGCTCTTTACAAAATTGCGGAATTTTTCAAATCGATATAATTCCACTCCACAAATCAAACTTGACACAGAGGATGGACTTTAATTTTTTGATTTGAAGGATAATCTCAATAAATTTTCATAGAAGAATAGAATTCAAAAATACTTACATAAAGAAATACAGTAATGCCTTCATCTCGTCGCTCCATGGTTTCGATGAGTTTATAAATAGTCTCATGCGACATTATTGAATAATGCGATGTAATTTCCATGCGTGACAAATTATTCAATGCGGCTGCACACAACAACAAGGTCTGGGGACATTCGGTGAAGACAAGCAGCCGTGTCAGGCCTTCAACCACCGTCTCCACACAATCCTTAAGGCCATCTACACGATGTTCTGGCCCATGCCATGCAGCTGTGATTTGTGTCAACAACGATACAGCTTCTCTTCGTTCCAAATCGCTACGCTTCACCTCATTTTCTTTGGCTTTTTTACTGCTGCCTTCTCCCTCAATTTGTAAAATATCTCTGATCACTTCAATGCCTCCACAGTGACCCAGCTGGAATATAGGTTCTGGAGCACAACAAATTGTAGCCAAGGCTCTCAATGCTTGGGCGCGAACCGAGCTCAATTTATTGTCCAAACATACCACCAACAAGGTGCGTACCGCCTCAGTTTGTACAAAGGCATCGACGAGCGAAGCAAAGCCATCATAATCAATGTTCATCAATGTGGCCACCATATTCAAATTAGCCTTCAGCATTAAATCGCAGCGACCATTCTCAATGCTTTGTATCAGATTCCTCACCAACTTCTCATAAACCTGGCGTACACTAATCAACAATATACGTTTCAAAACTTGTAAATCTTCGAGTAAAGATTCAAGATTGATGTAGTGATGATTCTCCAAAGAGTAGCGGGTATCCTTGTGGACCATGCGTATTTGATCGAGATAATCCTCATAGCGTTTACGTTCGACACGGGAATCGGCAAAGAATACAACTCTGCGTTCCAGTATGTAAGTGAATTCATTGATGTTATCCAACAAATGTAAGGCTCCATTGATGGCTTCCAGGGGTGTAACACCCTCCTCACTTAGCAGACGTTCTGTTTTCTCGAAACAAGTTTGCATTCGAAGGGCCTTCTGTTGTAATTGACGTATAAACTTTGCCACAGTACTGGTTGTAATTTGCAGATTCTTAACGGCTTCTTGGGCAATGGATTTTGTTTGCAGGGTAGACATAACCTCGTGGTCATAGGACATACGCAAGTCATCGAGCCAGTTTTGAACATCTGGACTGTGGCCATTCAATAGGGTATTGTCATATTCATGACAAGCCATCATGGGAGGTAAAGTACAACCGGCCGAGGGACCCTTTTGTATTTTGGGTGTGCTGGTGTGACCGTTAAATCTTGCCTGCAATCGTAATGGTGATACACCATGCATCTCAAAGGTGAGGGTGTTGTTGGGGCTATGCTGTTGTGAATCATCCATAGGACCACCCAAGACAACGGTTTCATTATTATATGGTGGTGGAGGAGTAGAGCAGGTGGGAGGTGCTCCACCCAAATACACGGTTTCATTGTTATATTCTGGAATTGTTCTGTGAGATTCATCTAAATCACTTTCTTCTGCTGCCTCCTCTTCATCCTCATAATTGTGATAACGTCTTTGGGTGGGTGTTAGCGGCGCCGTGGCCTTACGTTGTACCTTACGACGTTTCTTGATGCGAGGATTGTTACCTCTTATGGGAGTGGTGTTGTCACAACTGCTGCTTTGACTGCTGTTTAAAGAATCATTTAAAGGTTGTGTTGTTACGGGTGATTCATTCATTAATTGCATGCTGTCCAGTTTTTCCATTAGAGAAGGACCTTCTTCTTCCTCCTCGTCGTCTCCTGCATTGTGTTCTTGCTTATTGTTGGTCAATGGTGAGGTGGGGAATGAGATACGTCTTGAAACATTTACCAAAGAGGTATAGTAATCGGAACGCACTGGACGTCTTACAACTGTGGGTGGTGTCTCCACTGTACGGGTAGATGAGGGGGAACCCATATCAGTTTTGATGCTGCTACCCATCGATTTACTGCTTGGCGATGAGGTTTTCGATGAACGACCACTTAAGCTGCGGGTATTGTGATATTCTTCATTGTCGGAAAACCCAGAATCCTAAGGGGAGAATTAAATTTTTGTTAATTTTTTTGAATAAACAAATAGATTTATAAATTATATTTTACCTGTGATCTTAAACTGCCAGGACTATCATGTTTCTCCCATGAGAGTTTTGATAAATTGTTTTCATCTTCAACTTCTTGGATGCGTGATAAATTTCCATATGCTTTGTACTGATGCAAATCCAATGAATGATAAGTACTGCCACCAAATGGTTGATACTGTGGCTGTGCCTTCCCTCCTGTTGACTTTGCTCTTTGTGGCTGTTGCTGAGCAGCAGCAGTGGAGGATTGACTGTAATACGAATATAAACCGCCACTTGTTAGACTGTTGCTGTTACCATTTGAAGTGGTAAGCATTTGGTGTATGGCCGGATTCATGGTAGCACCACTTATTGTGGGATATTGATTGTCGTCGGATCCCCACCATACTTTACTGTAACTACGTTGGAAAGCCATGCTGGTGTGTTTGGGGGGTTCTCTGATCTCTAAGCAACACTGTAAGCAAATGGAAGAAGAAAAATATGAATACAATGAATAACTATGGAAATATGTTAATTATGTAAAGGAACGGTTTAAGGGAGAAGTGATTTCAAAGGAATCCAATTATGTGAGGAAAGGGAACTAGGGGGGATAAATGCTGTGAAATTCCTGATTTTATTTATTTTTGGAATAAAAAATGGCATTGGGGAAAGGTAGGGTTGGTTTGTTTTTAATTTTGTTTGGGTGAAAGAAGATTATTTGATTTTTATATTCATTTAAAATTTACCTTTGGAAATATTCATCTTGAGTAATTTTTGTAACTGTATTTTTAAGAAGTCTGGCATCTCTACATTCTAATATATTTATGTCATATATCGATAATAAAAATTATCGAAAAAACGAGGGAAAATAACTAGATATTTCAAAAGAGTTAATAACGCAGTATTTGTCTATCCAATCTATTTAAATATACCCAACAATTTGAAATAATTTTGAAAATAAACCCATAAAATTCAACATAGAACATATAATCCCAAAAATATTTGTTGTCTGCTTTGCTATCTTCCCTTAGGGCCCTCCATTTGCTTGTGATGTAGATATTTAAATTATAACCCCTAAAGTATGCTTTAAATTTTTGCCCTGAAGAAAAATGCATTCTTTCATTTACTAAGTTATTTTTTTTTTTTTTTTGTAATTTTTTTTATTAATTAAGTATACATACTATATAAAAAGCCTATAATAGAATTTTATAACTATTAGTATTTAATACACAGTACGTAATTTGATTAGTTTCGATATAGAAGTTTTCTTCTCTTTTGCTTTTTCTTTAATTCGTATACACATTTTTCGAATATATTTAAAATAATAGTATTTTTTGTGTAATACGTTTTAATTGTTATCGTATATTTAGTTATAATTTTTACATACACAAATATATATATAAAACATTCCATATATTTGTTTTTGTTTTCTTAAATTTAAAAACAGAACAAAAAATTTAAAGAAGCACAGAAAATCACCACACATTATATTTTTACTAGGAAATTAAATAAAATCGAATTTGTTTGATAAATATATATTTTTTTAAGCTAAACAATTGTCTATATAAATATTTTTTTCGAGGCTATGAAAATATGTCTCTTTCTCTGTTTCGAAAGCAAGCATTAAATCCCTAGAATATTTTTCTGCAGAAAATAAAACTAAAGCTTTAATTTTAAACAATGAAATACTGTAGAGCGGTTTGTATTCATTTTTTGTTTTATATAGAAAAACAATATTTATGTATAAAAAAACAAGCTTAATATTCAACAAATCATAATATTTTGTTTTGCTTTAAATTGAAAGTGAATGAAAAAAGAGAGTACACAATACAGAACTAAAAAATGTATGCTACTACATCATCATTATCCTTTCTTCTTCCGCTCGCCTCTTTTTCATCCTCATCATCATCATCGGGGGGTATGCGTACATACAGAACAAAAATATATACATAAAATAATAAATAATACAAAGAATATATATAGAGATATGGTAATAATAAAAAATAAAACGAATACAAAACTGCAGGAAGAAGAAGAGGAGGAGGAACACTATTGAAATAAACATAAAAAAATTCTACGTCCTTGTAAAGTTAGTTGTTTCTAATAATTATGGTTTTGTAATAGTTTGGTGGATAAACATAGTAGTGCTGTTGTAGTGTGATGGAAGTAGTAGTAGTAATAATAAATTGTTACGCAGAACTAAAGCTATGTCGGTGTTGTTGTCGTTTTTCCGGTTTCAATATAGATTTAAGAGCACTTTGTTGATTTTAACTTAAAACTCATTTGCTGGAGCCACCGCCCTCCAACATTTCAATAGTAAGTTAGAGTGTTGTAAAAGTAGTAATAGAAAAAATATTCAAATATAATTAATTGCTGTGCTTCTTCATCGACGCGGACGGTGGTACTCTCCACATATATTTACAGCTAAATTCCATTATGTCTCAAAATCACCCCTCCAATCCTCGCAAGCACATCATCTTACAACTTCATTAACAATAAGAGTCGATGTGTATTTCTTCTCTTGTGTGGTTTGTATTACAGCACTAACCACCTTTTTGCCCTCAACATCTTGTTCAATACCCTCATCGGATTGTTTATGATCGTGCTGCGGCTGTTGATGATTTTCAACACAGCCGATTGAGGTAATTTCCACACTAGTTTTTGTTAAATATTGTGGCCGGCGTCGTGGCAGCGATGATCTATTGCTACCGGCGGCCGAGGCCACATCATCATCATCGCTATAATCATCTGAGGTACTACCCACAGTACTACGTTGTGATGACATATACGATTGCGGTGCTGGTATATGCCTTAAGTGACCCGACGATCCACCGTCACCACCACTTCTTGAACCCGATGCTGCAATTATATCCTCTTCGGATATTTCATCAAATGCCGGTGGTGGTGTTGACGATCCAGACATGAAGTGCGGATGTCTCATGGCCGCCGCCGCCGCTACCCCACTGGCAGCACTTTGTGATGGCGTTCTTTGCGGGGTACGCACTGCAGCCGTCGAAGTTTTCCTTTTCGATTGTCTCAGTGGAAATGTTGGCGTTTTCTTAAATACAGTTTTACCCATGAAATTTTGGAAACGTTGGGCATAAAACGACGGCCGACACACCGACACCGTATCACCATTGTAGATAATCGCCTTGAAGGTGTGTTCGAGTTTCTTTTCCAAACGATACGATTGCAGAATATCAATTATACCAATATACAAGATGAGACGTTCATCATCCTCCGAACGTGCGGGTATACCACCGGCCGGCACATCTTCATCCTCCTCAAAGGGCGTATCATCAGCTGTAATCGATTCCATGGCCGTCGACAGGGCCACCAGACGTTGACGATTCATGCTGCGTGAACGATTCAAAGCGGTACCAGCCGCTGCAGCTGCACCCTCATTTTCCGCATCATCGGCCTCACGAATTTCATCGGTCTTTTGCAATTTAGCTCTGGCATTTCGTATGCGTTCTTCACGCTTCTCCTTGGCGGCTAAATCCAAATTGTGTATGCCCACCAGCAGGGAATAGTCCATAATTTGGAAACTTTCTAGGACCATACAATCTCGTTGTATGGTCTTCATCAATGCATTATATTTATCTGTTTCGAGAAATATACCATTTGGATGATGTTCCATAAAATCTAGATCCTTGTAGGTGGGACTTTCTTTTTGCCGTTCTGCCTTTGAGGCTTTACGACGGAATGTAGAGCCTTTCAAATCGTATTTGGCATGCATTTTAATGTCGGAGGGTAGAAGATTGTTCATGGCAACGAGGCGAACATTTTTCGTGTTGTAATGGAAGCAGTAGAGGCCAAAGAATTTCGGCAGCAGGGTTCGCGGATTTTGCGAGAGGTTCATATAGTAGCCGGGTAAAAGTTTCTGCAGGAATTCACATTCCTTTTTCTGTACAGTCTTGATAATGAATTCATCATCGTCGGTTAGGTAAAATATGGAACCAGAGGCACCAGGATTCGAGAGTTGACGCAGCGGTGCTGCACACATGGACATGAGGAAATCATCGGGTGCAATGCCGAACAAGTCCCTGAAGTAGCGGAAGGCAATGGGGGCAAATACCTTGAAACGGAATTCGCTGTAATGATGGGCTGGCGTAATGGACGAACCATCTGGTGGGAAGGAAATTGTTTCCATTTCAAAGAAATCATTCATAAGCAGATCGCGTTTGGGTTTCGATGCCAAACTGCCCACCGTGTGTTGTATGCCCAGCTGAATTGAACCCATAATTTGTTTACTTTGGATTTTCTTGTAAGTAACTTCACCCTCCTCATCGATACGACGATGGCCAATTTTCTTTTCGTGCTTGGCCACTGTGGACGGATTGCGGGATATACTTTTGTCCAGTGTGGAGGCAGCACTTTTAAATCTCTGCTGTTGAGAGATTTCATGTTGCAGCAATGAGTTGGCCTCTTGACCTCCATGTGCCAGGGCTGCATCTCTAAACAGTTGGCGCGAAGTGGAGGGTCGAGGATTTTGTGAATTGCTGGGTGAAGGTGTGCGAGGACTTTCTTCATTATCGGAAACCGGCAAGGGCTTGATAACTGTTGAATTGGCAGTTGTTAGATATTTGGTCGTTGTGTTTGTTTTTGGTGTTGTGGGTGGGGAGGAGTTGTTGGCTAAAGTTGTTGTGGTTTCATCCTCTGCCGCCTCTTGTTGATTGTTGTTGGCATTATCAGTTGTGTTATCAGTTGGTTTCAGCGGTGCCAATTCCACGGCATAAGTAACACCATAATTTGTGTCCATTGTTTATGTGTTTACAAACAGACGGACGGGACACACACACCACACAAAAACTGTAAAAATTTGAAATTTCAGTTTTCGTTTGGGGGATTTCAATAACATATGATTTTGAATTGTGCATTAAGAACGAGTTGGAGTTGGTATTTTTTAAAAGATTGTAACAAAAAGAAAACTTTTGGTTTGTGAGCCAAATGAGGAAGGAAAGAAAGTAGAAAACTGTTTGTCTGCAAAATTTCACCGGAACCATTTCCGTTCAATGGGCTTTTTTTGTGTATGACTTATTGGAAAATACAAATTTTCACTGCATTGGCAAGCGAAATGCATTATGTATTTTGAGAAACAAAAAAAAAAGAGGGGAATGGCCGCCTATTGGGCCACCCTGTATGTCAAATGCATTGTTAGTGTTTAACATTTCATTGTTTATTTTATTTATTTTTTGTCCAATGCTGATGAATTACTCATGCTGAATTAGCGTGTTTTTTTCTGACGAATTGAATTGTGTGTATTCAGATTTTGTTAATATCTGATTTAAATAAAACCTCCGAGAATTTATTGTGAGGGTGTATTGGTAAAGTTTTAAACAATCAGTATGAAACTGTAAAGAGGAGCGCCACTTTTTTGCCGTCATTTTGGAATTATATAGCTGAAATGACATTCATTGTGTACGATGATACGGATGGATACACGGCGGATGGCAAGCGAGAGAGTAAACTTATTTTATTATATTTCAATTTGGCTAAATGATGCATGAATGAGTCACATATGTTATTCTATGGTCTATCTATCTGTCGTTCGTCTTTATATTGAGTGAATGAATGCGACCGCTTCGTGTCGTGTGTGTAGATAGGAAGAAGAAATAAACAAAAGTGACTTAAGTGTCTGTCGACAAGATAAAATCGCTGTTGTTGTTGTTGGTGCTGTTTGGAGAGGAAAGTGATAAACATACAAAAATGGTTTCAGGTGACGACATATACCAACAAATGAAATGAACTGGCAATACGTCTCCTCTTGATGGCCAAGACAACAAATACAATAATAAATGTTTTATTTGTTTTTTTTTAAGTTCACGACATCTACTGATTTTTAGTAACACCTATGTTCCCCTGGGGATTGATTTTTATGGGCTGAGGAGATTTTGTTAACATCATTTTAAATGGTAATTTTTGTGGCGGTGATTTTAGAGAGAAAGTATTGAAGTTATAAAGGTAATTACAAAAAGAAGCTGGATGAGATTCAGGGTAAAGTGTGGGACCTTTTTAAATTTGATTTCGATTTGAAAAATTACTGTCTGTTCTTCATAAAAAATCAATGAAGGCCACAAAACAACAAATCAGTTTTCTTGTTAATAGGAAATTCAACTCAAGTGAATTCACACCTTGTCAATTCACAATTTCCCATGGACCATAAATATAAACACCATGCCAAATAAACAATAAACCTTAATAAAATTTGAGGAACAAAACAAAAAATATGATAAAAAAAATTGGTACCACATAAACTAGATGGTAAATGGAAATGTTCCGCAAAAATGTGTTTCTTCTAGAATTGAAGAACGGATAGTAAAAATTATAATTATATCCACTATCCATAAATCAAGGAATGACATTGGGGGTCACCACACATCTTCCAAATATAAACATATAATAAAAAAGTTTATGAATGAATGACCTTTAAACAAACAAAAATGTAGTTCAATGTATACTCGCGAACGACCGACCGACCACCATCAAAGGCCAGATAAAAAACGTAATTAAAAACTAGATTACATGGACAATTATTAACAATTAAAAAAAGCTCAATGTATTTATAATTGTCACAAATGGCCAACAAAGCTTAAGCTAATCAAAAAAAAAAATATATGAGAAAAAATAGGAAAACAGACTGCAATAACAAAAAACTCTTGGTTGGTATGAATAATTAAAAAAATAGATAAATAAAAACCACTTGTATTAGTAGTCGTTTTGGAATTTAGCCAAAACCGCATAGCAATATTTATGACGGTTTTTTTCTTATCGCATTTTTTGTGTTGCATGGTTTTTACTGGAAGAAATAAATAAAAAGGCAAACTGACGTAGCAAAAAACAATTGTTTTAACTAATTTTTGAGATAAGTTAAAATGCTTATCTTTATTGGGAAATGAACTGTTGTAGGCAATATATTTTTGCAAAACAAAATAAAAAAACAAATTTATTTATAATAATAATTAAACTTTAATTGTCAACAATTTAAATTATATAATTAATTTATTTGAAAAGTCATTGGGAGTTTTTAGGCGGTTTTTTTATTTCGAAAAGATGGCATCACTCTTGATTTTGCAAAAAATGTCAAGGGGAGAAATACAACACTGGCATTGAAGTTGTTGTTAAATTATCCATTTTTTGTTTTGGCAAACGATCATCATCATCATTTGGAAAACAAATTAGAAGCAGGGATTTTTGGTTTTTTGCTAATCAGCAAAAATATAGTTTTAATTTCAACCACAATACTAAAGTAAAATAACAATATTCTCTCTCTTCACGAATGTCTCATTATTTATCAGTGAGAGAGAGCAGCGAGTCTGTGTTTATTTTTATGGAATTGACAAAGCAGCAAAGCAAAACACGAACAATAAATACCAATACACATACACACAAACACTTGGAAATTATGACATTATTTTAAGCAGCAGCAGGCAACAACAGTAGTGTGAAGTAATAAAGTGAAATTTTTTCATTATACTCTTTTTCAGTTTTTTTATTTTATCTTCAAATACCGAAAAACTTGAAGATTTTTCCAAAAGGTATGTAGTTTTACGTTTTCCTTTTGTTTTAGACAAAAAATACAACTCCAACTCTTAAGGGATAGTGGAGATCTTGTGGAAAAGATCATCAACATCCCTCATTTTTTGTTCTTTGGCACACAATTCTTTTGTCTACTCACTTTCTTCTTTGTATGTTTAACAAATAAACAAAATCACTTAATATTCCAAGCCGCAACCACCAATATTTCTGTTTTTAACATCCGCAATGATTTTTTTCTTTGGAAATATCCAATGAAACAAAAAAATTAAAGGTCAAATTATCCGGCCAGTCAGTCGTCAGCCACCAAAAAAAGCCCACAGATTATGTGTGTGCGCCGTGTGGTGACTGTGTGTGTTTGTGTCTCTACTGCGAGAGTGCGGGCTGCGTCTTCGTTAGCAAACGCGAAAACGAAGGAAAAACGTTTATAGCTTCACGTAAAAATACTGAATGAAGCAACAAGTTCCAGCCAGACAATATTTTTCGTTGCTTGGTTTTTTTTCGTATTACAACAGTAGTCTGGCAAAGAGCTTAACACACACACGCGCTCGCTCGCTCTCTTTCAAACAATTCAATCAGTCACTCAGAGAGGGAATAATATGCAAAAACTAAACACTCTGGCTGTATTTTTTTAAATTATTTTTTCTCCTTTTGAAATGCCTTCCATATGAAATCATTTATACATGATTTCTATATACAAAATATTTATTTTTTTTTTAATTTTTATGGCGAATTCTCTTTTGTTTCTATTTTTCGATCTTCTCAACAAACAAAATACGATGATGAGCGATCAATTTGAAGGAGGGGCGTTGCTGTTGTATTTTGTTTTTTTCTTTGCTTTGTATTATTGATTTTTTTTGACAACTGGTAATATTTCCACACACACACGCTCTTTACAAAATTAAACACTAAATTGCATTTGTTGTATAAAATATATAATTGTGTTATTTTGATGTATTTCTTTTCGATTTATTTCGCGTTTTTATATTTCTTTTAGTAGCAACAGTCCAAGCAGCTGTTTTACAAGTTGTTCGCGTCGAGAAATTTTCGTATAAAATGACAGGCGCTCGTTGATTATGTGGTGTTTGTCAAATGTTGATTTGTTGTGTGAGAGAAAAACAAACAAAGAGAGAGAGAGAGAGAGAGCAAGAGAATACTTGAGTGAGTACCAATTACTTGGGCATATGAAACAGTGTTGGAAAACGTTGAAATGTTGTAGTTAACCAGAAAACGGGGGAATGAGAGCAGATTAATTAATGAAATTTAAATGAAAAATGAAATTATTTAAATAATTACAATAATTAGATAAAAATAAAGAATTTTAATAATTGGTCACATAAATATTAACAATTACATTATTTATTTGTCAAAAAAGTGTGATATTAAAGGTGACACGAATTGTCATATGAATATTTAAAATTGACGAGTGGATTATTTGTTATCCATTTTGTTAGTCGCTAAAAAAAACTATCTAGTTCATTCATTAATTATTTTTTAATATTAATTCAAATCATATAAAAAATGTTAAAGGTTAGTAACCGGAGACCCCTCTCTATTATCACATCTATTGTTTTTTTCTAATAATTTGCATATGCATAATTTTTCCTTGAAACTAAATGTAATAAAAAAACTCAATAGTTGTTCTCAAAATTATTCATCTGACATAATAACAATAAAAATACCAGCAAATCACAGATGGCAAAAAAACCCAAACAAAACTATATTTTCATAACAATGTGGAGTTAAAGATTTGAAACGGAGGTATGAGACTATTGTGTATTATTGAAATGTATATCAAAAAGTATTGGTCAATATTATAATGAAAAAAAACATGCTTGACACTTATAGCTAGATAGAAAATAATTTGCATATAAATAAAATTAAAATACAAAACAGAAGCAGCAGTAGTAGTCGATGTATTCGTAGCTTCATATACTGATGAGCAAGACAATTTTTATTAAATTACAATAATTATAAAATTACTGAACCAAACACAAGCAAAAAACGAAATGTTCATAATATTGAAAAACACTCGTTGGTGTCGCATTTGAGTTTTTTTTGCGCTGTGGTTATGGCCATTATTACAGACCACTTTAAATCCATAATTAAATATAGATTCGCTGAGCTTCAAATGTTGTATTTTTTGTGTTTCAATAATAGGGATGTCGAAACGGGAAATATATAAAACTTAGATATTTATTTGGTAACAAAAATTATTTAAAAAAA